GTCCTGCCTGTCGGGGTTGATATCATTCCTCTTCAATAGTGCCTTCACTACTCTATCATGGCCATTCATGGCAGCTAACGAGAGTGGTGTCTGGTCCCATCTGTCTGGTCTATCGGGGCTGACTTTTCCCAGTCCCAGCAGCAGCTCCACTACTCCATCATGCCCATTCATAGCAGCCAACAAGAGCGGTGCTCGGCTAAGACTATCTAGCCTGTCGTGGCTCACATCTTCACGTCCCAGAAGAAGCTTCACTATTCCGTCATGTCCATTCTCGGCAGCCCACGAGAGCGGTGTTCCGCCGCTGTTGTCCAGGTTGTCGGGGTTGACGTATCTCTTTCCAAATAGTAGCCTCCTTACTCGTGGTGCTTTTCCCCACCGACGACCGATGCTCTCAGGGTTGACAAACTGCCGACCAAGGAATAACCTAACCACCCCCTCATGCCCACTCCCAGCAGCCCAGGAGAGTGCTGTCTGGCCACACTCCGTGTCCCGCATATCGGGCTCAGCATGCTTCTGTTGCAAGAGTAACTTCACTACTTCCTCATGGCCACACCTCGCAGCCCACATAAGCGGCGTCATACCCGCATTATCTCTTCGGTTCACATCCCACCTTTTCACTTTTATCAAGTAGATTGCAACTTCAGCAATACCGAAATACGAAATACAGTGCAGAGGACCAAACGACCCGTGACCGGGAGTATAGCAAACGGAATAATTCGTATTGATTGACTCCCGAAGGAATTTGGCAGATATGTGATTTTCGTATCGATCAAGAAGCTTGAGTGCAAGGCGTCTTGAGTGATCTGAATAATCCATTCGCATGTGGGTTCCCCAATATACAGAGGAATATTCTAGGAAGGGAGTGTCTCGAGGGTTGTGAGAGGGGCCGGCCGGCAGACCCTTGATGGTCCGGGAGTCGAGATAAGTCAAACATATTTCCGCTATTTTCGAGTGAGCTCTATCGAACATGTCGGCATGCCCAGAAAGATACTCTTTGAGGGTGAAATGGATCAATCGAACAGTCGAGGACCCTTCGTCGACAGCGACAAGCCCCTGGCAACAGCTTAACAAGGTCCGGATTGAAGGTACATTATTGTTATTAATGTCCGGTGATCCTATCTTGACCGCTAGGGCATGACATATCTCGTCCACCTTCAACGGTCGCTCCGAATGGGAGATCCACATCAGAGCGGCCATTCCGAGTCTTGTTCTATCCTCTCCAAGCGCCTTTATCCGCCCTATAGTTGCATCGTATGTATTCTCCAATCCCAAGCCATTTGTCACTGAATCGAGCTTTTCCCGCCTCCGATGGATTGTCGTTTCCTGCAGGATCACCTCGATGTTTAGGGATACCAGCAGGAATCTAGACACGGATCTGTCAGCAAAATAACTTTCGACATTTCCGCCAGTGCCCTTCCCCCTACTTACATTTCCGAAACCGTCTCTGGGATATTCTTGAAAATGTCCTCCTCCAAACTCTTGTCGATCGCGTCGGGTGTTGTATCCTCTTTTAGCTTCGCTCGGAGGAATAGAATAATATCATCCTTAGTGGGTGTTACGGATACCGCCGCTAACCTTCCAGCAAGGTGATTCTCCACTTCACCCAGGATATGCAATCTCCCGGCCAGAAATATTCGCGTCCCTGGAGTATTCTGCAGTATCTGTTTCAGTGATTCAAGAAGCTTTGCTCGATACTCCGCTACGCATTCGTCGACAGCATCAATACAGATGGTGATGCGCCGTGAGGACGAGACATCCCGGAACATCTCCACAAGTTCGCCGAGTCCCAGCCTCCGGCCCCCGATGAGCCGTTTCTGGTCTCGAAATTCTTGGACGATCTTTGCCGGAATATCTTCTAGTCCGCCAACAACCTGTTTTAACAGGGAACCCAGGATGCTCGTTGGGGTTTGCTCCTTCCGTGAGGCGAAATCGAAGTAGAAGCACGCGACGGCAGCATTTTGTCCCCTCGCCCCATCGCATAACGTATCTATCACTAGCGAGCTGGCGGTACAGCTTCTTAGTGACAATTTTTTCCTTCATGAAGGATACGCTTTCTTACCTAATGTAGGTCTTCCCGACCCCCGGGGCTCCGTAACAAAACAAGGCTGAATTTTCGGATTCCTCATCGCGAACCCCATCAAACCAATTCTGATATTCCTCGGTCCGTAAGAACCAGTCTCCCACACCTTCGACTCGGTGGGCTCTAACATCATCGTGCCGTATCCGGGGTTCCAGTGGAGATAACCACGAGAGAATCTCAGACCTCTCGTCTGCACCAGCAAAGTAATTCACGTTAAACACATTGTTGAACGAGTTGGCATTGAAAGAGTTGCTAATTTCCCCGGCTTGAGACTGTGACATTTTCACCTTTTTGTTTCTTGTCGTTTGGAGGATTGTAGATTTGATCCGAAAGATGGGTTCTTGGGCGTGATAGGGTCAGTGGATAGAGTTCCGGGGCTGAAGAATCGCGGGGTCATGGTCGTCTTGCTGCTTTCTCGGCCAACATCCTGCCCCATCCGCCCGTCCGGAATACTTTATGGTACCGGTACTCCCAATGAGAAAAATAACCTAGATAGCCCCAGAATGCCGATAATCCCGAGAAATCAGTAGAACAAGACAACTCATGAAATATCCGAAACAAGTCATAGCTTTGCAGTGTCTTGATCTCTCAGGAACTTGTTCCTCAAATTTCTAAGATTCCCAGGGAGGTAAAGGAAACTTCCCACCATCGCAACAGGTAGATCAGGTTCAAAAAATATTATCACTACAACCCTACAGACTATATAAACTTCTAAAATCAAATTGAAAAACAGAAAACAGAAAAAAGACACTTTTTTATGAGTTTCCATGCGAATACCGGTACTGCAGCAGGAGCTTCAACCGACCCTCCCAGCTCTCCTACTTTACTAGAGCGTGCAGAACGCTACTCTCACACGAGTAGTACTAGTACAGATTTGTACAGTACGAACAGAACGTGTGAAGAGACGGCGATCCCTCTATCATAAGAGCTCGAATAATTGAACCTCGCGTAGGACGTCCAGAATTCCCTCTCTTAGCTAGAAGGCCTGGAGCACAACAGAAACTGACTCCCTGAGCCCCATCTTAAGAGCAAAAAAAAAAAGCAGAAAAACACCGCACCGTACCGGTACTCGAGCACCGGCAGAGGCAGCTCCAACGCATGCCAGTTCGGCGGGGTCGCTTAGTTAACTGAGAACAAACACCCCGAGCAACGTCCCAACTCGAGGTTCAATTGTTCGAGTTCTTACAGAATGCTGTTTAGCCATATGTTTCCACAGCAGCTCACAACGGTATCACCACGACGGATACGACCGCTGCCCCGCCGCGTTATGACACAACAAGGGAAGATGGTCCACCAACCTGCCTAGGCCCGCCTAGATGTGCGCAAGGCCCCCACCAAGCGCGGATGCAAACCTAACGAAGGAAATAGGGGATGGAGGGGAGGGGGATAATGATAAGTTAGCAGACCCACTACCGGTATCATTCCTTCCAACCGCTACCAAATCCCGTAATTCGTCTCTACTCACTTACCATGCTATCGCTATCACCCTCCCACAATATCACACAATGGAAATAACGAGTGCCAGCAGGGTGTCATAAATAAAACCTACGAGGTGGAAGTATGATACCTGTATATCATACTTCCCTATGTCCTACCAACCCCTTCCTCCACGATTAAGCCCTAAACCCTAATTACATAATTTGAACACGAGCTTTATCCCACCCCACCCTCACTACCGCGCTATCACACCCTCACCCATACCGTTACCATGTCCACGCCCGCCCTACTCGTACCCAACATTCACACCTCCCCCACACCCAAGAAGAAGACAAAAAAACTCCGACCAGTCAATCACATGATGACAGCGTTTCAGACTCTACCTTTCGATCGCGAAATACGGTATCGTATCGTAACAGTACGGTACCGGTGCCTCAGGCGACTACGGCGGGGCGTTCACTAGCTTCATCGGGGAAGTCGGGCTCGCTAAGTCAATGTAGAGGATATCAGCCTAATAGGAATCCTACCGTATGTTCCTAGGAGCAAGGGACGGGCGAGCGGCGCACAGGGCACGCGATGTTTGGGGGGTCACCCTTTTGGGATAGGATAGCTGCGCGCAATGCCAGGGCCAAAGATTAGCAATTGCATGGTGCCGGTTTTGACGCAACATAGTCGGCTAAGGTGGCGGTATTGCTATGGTACGGCCCCGCGGCAGTAGGTAGTGTTTGAGGGTTTTGTGGAGGGGGCTACTTAGAGCTGAGAGTTATCCTCCAGAGGGCTATTTGGAAAAGGTAACCTTGAATATTGTTTACCGAAACCGGAGAGAAATCAGTGCGGTCATACACTTCCGTCATAGTTATCTATCTGGTACCCCAATTCCGATTCGATATGTAGAACATTCCGTCTAAGGACTAAACAGCCAACACTTCTAGAAAAAGTCTATAGCAATGCAATCTTCCCATGTATCGCCTGCATTCCCCTCCATCTACAGCCTCGCTTTAACCCCCCTCTCCAAAAACCACCCCTCAACTCTCTCCCTCAAGCCCGCAATCACACTCTCATCTTCAACAGTAGCTGGAACCTCCACTTCCTTGCCAAACTCACCCCTAACAGCATTCTCCACAACCACCCTAACCACCCTCCTGAGTGTCTTTCCACTGCGTGTGCGGGGGACCTTATCTACGACCACGACGCCGCCGAGCACTGCAATGGGTCCAATCTCGGTACGCACGTAGCCGTTAATCTCCTTCAGCAACCTCTCCTCCGAAGGGCGAAGGGCAGAGGAGGGCTTAAGAACAACAACTGCAAACGGAACGTGTCCTTTAAGCACATCCGGCGCGCCAACAACATACGCCTCGGCAATCGCCACATGCGCAAGTATCGCCTCCTCTATAGCACCAGTCGAAAAGCGGTGCGCGGCGACATTTATAACGTCGTCGGTGCGCGACATGACGTGCACGTACCCATCCTGATCCATGAATCCGGCGTCGCCGGTGTCAAACCATTCACCTTTTCCTGCGAATCTTGCGAAGTACGCGCTGTGGAAACGTGCAGCTCCCGTGTCGGACCACAGTTCCGTCAGGCCCGTTGGCGCAAGCGGTGTTGCTAGGACGATGTTCCCGCTACGGCCGGCGGGGAGCGGTATGCCGGCGTCATTTACGACTTTTAGGTCCCAGCCCGGCATGAGGTTTCCAGCGCTGCCGGGCTTGACGGGTGTCGGGGGGGCATTAAAACCCAAGGAGATACCGGTAATTGGAGAGCCGGATTCGCTGGACCACCAGTTATCCACTACCAGCCCCTTGCAGGAAGGCGAAGTTGATGGGCCGAAGATTGCGTTCTGGTAGTCCATTACTATGGACGGCTCGCTCCGCTCCCCGGCCAGAAAAATCGCGCGGAGGGAGGAAATGTCGAATTTCTTGACCACAAGCAGTGCCGGATCCTCACGCTTTATCGCGCGGAGGGCTGTGGGCGCAGTGCTCAGGATGTTGACTTTCCATTCGGAGATTATCCGCCAGAAGGTGCTCACATCCGGAGTCCCCACGGGCTTTCCCTCAAACAGGACCGTCGCGGCGCCGACCAGCAGCGGCGCGTAGAGGATGTAACTATGTCCGACGACCCAGCCCAGGTCGCTAGCGGTGAATATCGTGTCGCCAGCACGGATGCCGAAGAAATGTTCAATAGTGTACTGCAGCCCGACCAGATGCCCTCCGATGCTCCGGGTTATGCCCTTTGGTTGGCCGGTTGTTCCTGATGTGTAGATTATGTATTGTGGTGCGCAGGAGCGGAAGGCAGCTCCAATTTCCACGGTTTTGGCGCTGTTGGGTACGGGGACACGGGCGACCGAGCCGCATGAGGCAGCGTTGGCGGTGGTGGAGTTGGGCGGGGATCGGTTACGTCGGGTTCTCAGCGACCGGACAAGGCTGTTCCAGTTTAGTTCCCGTAGTGACTTATCCAGAAAGACGTAGAGTTTATCACGTTGTAGGACCAGTGTGTTTTGTGGCTTCCAGTCGCTTTTGGAGATTGCTTCGCGGACCTATAATCCTTCAGCCTCTCCCGGAGGGCAGGGGGAAATATAATATCATCATACCAACGGCAAGTAAGGAATAACCCTGCTCCCCTCAATCCCACAACTAGCCGTAAGCACCAGCTTTGGCCTAGCAGACGAAATCCTCTTTGCACACTCGGCCGGTGAGAACCCCCCGAAAACAACCGTATGTATAGCTCCTAAGTGCGCTATCGCCAGTAGCGCAATCACGCACGAGGGTATCATCGGCACTACCGAGCATCAGCAAACGAAACCTCTACAGAAGGGGGTGGGGGGGGAACAGACTATAAACAAGAACCGTATCCCCCTCCTTAATTCCCCTCCCCCTCAGCACCTCCGCAAACACCTCCAGCTCCTCCTGCAGCTCCGTATACGTAATAACACGCTTCCGACCCGTCACGGGGGAATCCCAAATCACAGCTCTCTCCTCCCCCCGCCCCGAGAGCACATGTCTCGTCACGAGATTATACGTAGTAGAAATCCTCCCATCGGGAAACCACCACCACTTCCTTTTCCCGTCGACGCGCAGAGGTGTCGAGTACTGCGTTTCCCAGGATAGCTTTTGCGCGTGGGCGTGCCAGAAGTCGGCAGGAGCTCTGAGGGATTCCGAATGGTGCTTTGACTGGTCGTCCATTTTGCCTTTTAGCTGTTGATTTGTGGTGGTGATGGTGGAGCTCTGCGCTAATTGTACCCGCTACCGATCTTGTCTTCCGATACGAGAAGCAATGACACCAGATCAATACGGTACCGGTGGGATCGTCGGCCGTGTTTACCAAGACAACGGATTCAGCACGTGATCCGGGGATGTGGAGGGCTACCCGGAGAGTCTTTCTTTAACCTAACACCCGTACCGCCTCGTCTTCTTCAATTTAAACTCTCTGGTAAATTATGTATCGCACAAAAAAGTCATCAAGCCGTACTATACTCGTACTCACCACACCTATAAATCCATGGATCAGGATAGTCCCGCATAGCTGTGTTTATTTGATTTCTTTCACCATTCTATGAATCTGTACAATACTTAAATCCTAGTCCGAATCCTTGCGGTACGATAACCGTGATGGGGATCCGTCGCCCGCCCGCCTGTTCGGTATTTCGGTCTCTACGAATAACTGCTAAGCCTACATGCCTACCGTACATTGGCGAAATGGCGAAAGACAATGGTGCGGAGATACTGTAGTCTAACAGAATTGTGGAGTGTGAATTGTGTGTGGGGAACCGGGGCTGTGGCTTGGCCGAAGCTTGTTTTTTTTCCTCTGGGAATGTGGATTCCTTGAACGACCCCCAGCCCAAGTTGAGCCGCATTCATGGGGTGTCACTCGTATTAGTCTTGGCGTGCAGGCTATGCAGGGTGAGTTTAGACTATCATACAGCGCATGTCATTCGAACACCTCCATGAATGCACAAGAATTTTAGTGGAGCTGGCACCCTGCCTCCTCTCACCACTCCTAAAGTACAGGCAGCTTATGTTTGCACAGTTTGGTTGGCAGAGGACTACTACCCGTAGTCGAAATCGGAGCTCGTTTTTGGCTTGATGGAGAGAGCACACAAGGTTCTCACTCAAAAAAAATAAAAGCCCATAGTACCCACCTATTTCTTAATTCCACTCCCCTGGACCCCGGGAGGAGTGCGCAATCCAACGCACTCAAGGGGGGGTGGAGTTCACTGGTGTGCACAGAAATCGTACTCTTAAATACCCGCAGGACTTGACAAAAAAGGGAGCCAACTGCCCACAACGAATATTGACTTATCTTCTTCCACGATACAGAGCCCACCAGTTGAGAGTTAGATTTCATTGCAATTGCCCAAATTCCGCCCCAGTCCCTGGTGGCTTTGACACTCTTATCCCATACCCACTCGATAAAGTTCGCCATAGACTCGCAACACCGGAAGAAATGCAATACCGGTGGCTGAAGGTCCCTATCCCAAGCCCTCCTCCGGGGAACAAAAACCAGGAGAAACCCCCCTTTCCATACACAGAAAAATATTCTAATCCAACTTGAAATACACCCCCTATCCAATAATAAAATGTTACATCTAAAGAGGGAACTGATCATTAGACCGTGAACGTATAACACCGCCCCGAAGAACATCTAGAGTGCATATTCACCACTCGACCCCACTCCAACATCCGAACACGGATGTTGAATCTAACGTGCGGTCAGCTACCGTACGTTAAGCAGGAACATGTGCCTATAGCACAGCCCGGCTGCATGCCCCCCCCCTGCGGCCCGATATCACATGACCCCCAGGACACATCACTCCCTATCACTCGCCTCCTAATAGTCCCCGAACCGTAAGTTTACAAAGCCGTGCGATACTATATAGATGCAGCACATAATGTAAAATCTACCAGACTGCGATACCCAAGCCAGTGCAAGAAAAGCACATGATATCAACAAAAGATGGAAATTTAAGAATGGGGGAGGGCGCACCATGACGTACTAGTACATACCACAGAAACCCAATCATATAGAATTTTGGATAATACCCAGCATTACGGACAAGATAAGAATGCCCCGGGCCCAATCCGCCTCTTCCTCCCCCTCACCGCTGTCAAAATCTTACATTTTAAGCACTTTGTCCGACCGCTCCCCATTTTCGCTGTCCGATGCGGGCCGGCTACGGTGCACAAAATCCAAAGATAGGACAGCTTCACCCGGTACGGGGAATTTAATGTCGGAAGGGCCGTTTTTTTCCGGTACAGCCGCCCACGGCTATAGTTCGCGGTACTGTACCGTTCCAGTGGTATGGGGTATGGTATGGTATCATACGTAATACCGTAACATATGATATCATATAGTATTCTACAGGTACTACCAGGAGTTAGTGTTCGAGCTGTAAAAATGTACAGTGTATGATAACTAATCGCGCCATTACATAAATCAGTGTATCAACGCCAGTTTTAGTCTCGCTTGTCTTCCTATCCATAGCGCTCTAACGCTGCTGCGGGTATCGCCGGTATGATTGCGAGTCATCTCCTGGGGCAAGTTCTGAGCCTAGTCCCCTGCCTTTAAGGTGCTCCTGCCATTTATTTTCCCGATGCGTAGACAAGAGAAAGGCTCTGCTGCACCCCCCCGAGTGGCAGGGTTGACAAAACCCGTGAGGGATGGTGAGCTGGAGGGGGGGTGTATTTCACGGAGAGGGCACTGGCACTATGCGTCGTTAACCGCAATGTTCAAAGGAGGAATTGCGGAGAAAAAACCTTTGATGTCTTTAGTATCGATATGGAGAATGGTTTATCTCTTAATACGGTAATTGGGATAGTTGATATGAAAAAGAAAAAAGCGAAAGGAAAGGAAAATAGACTAAATGTAGTGAATCACACAGCGCAGACCCTCCTACGCTGATTACTACAGTGAACCCTCTCCCATGCGTGCAGGATGCACGTCTATATCCAATTTATGGCTTATTTTTGAAGCTTCCACACGCGTCTCTTGCAATGCAACACAGTTGCCGTCCAAATTGTACAGTGACATGATACAAGTAAATACAAAACCGATTGAAAGACACGGAATGACTTAACCCAATGGGGACGGAAAACAAAAGGTAGATAAAGAGGGTGTATATACGGAGGGAAGGTAGCAGAGGAAAGCGCAATAGCCCAGACATATATAAAATTAATGAAACAAAACCCAAACCATGAAACAAGAAAGCACCATTGAAGTAGCGAGGCGTGCCGAGCGGACGACCCAAAATTTGGCATTAGCGGGAACTTGTCAGCCCGATATAAAGATCTGTGCCGGGCTCGGGATTTCGTTTCGCCGAGTTTGTCCCCCAGCTGGAAGGGCAGGTCTAGCAGATGGAGGGAGGAATGCCGAGTTTTATGCCCGGACATCAAAACCTGCGGACCCTTTTGGAAGGGGGTTCAGATAGCTCAGACAACTCGGTAGAAAGCTCGGTTGATTGCAGGCTCGCTGCATATCTGAGAATCAAATTCGCCCGTTCCTGAAGTAGCTTTACAATTCTCTCATGCCCATTCTTTGCAGCCCACGATTGTGGCGCCCGGCCATGTAGGGTGTCAGCTATGCTAGGGTTGATGTCGCTCCGTTCGAGCAGTATCCTCACCACTCCCTCGTGCCCATTCTCGGCAGCCCATGAGAGCGGCGTCCGGCCGTATAAGGTGTCAGCTGCGTTGGGATTGATGTCACTCTGTTCCAACAACATCGTTACCACCCCCTCATGCCCATTCTCGGCAGCCGAGGAGAGCGGCGTTTGGCCATATTGGGTGTCAGTTGTGTTGAGATCGATGTCACTGCGTTCCAACAGTATCCTTACCACCCCCTCGCGCCCGTTCTCGGCGGCCCATGCGAGTGGTGTTTGGCCATATCTGCTATCAGCTGCGTTGGGATTGATGTCACTCCGTTCCAATAACATCTTTACCACCCCCTCGTACCCATTCTCAGCAGCCCACGAGAGTGGCGTTTGACCATATTGGGTGTCAGCCGCGTTGGGATTGATGTCCCTTCGTTCTAGGAGTATTCC